TTTACAAATATTCTACRTTCAATTGATGGTCAGCCTGAGCGAAAGAGAACTGGAACWTTGAGGAATGAAAAGATGAAAACATCCAACATGTTCAAAAACAATGCTCTCCCTSAAAAGGGGCATGAATCAATACCTTTACTTGAACCATCTGAGTTTCTCAAMACTGTTAGTTCTTCTATAGTACCAAAAGGTGAAAACATAACACGAACATCATCTTCTTTAGCTGACTTWGATATCATTCCAATGAATAGTTTTCTGTCCTCTGTGAACACATAAATGAACACATAAATAAATACCCAAATTAATTAGAAGAGAGCTATGTTTCAGTGACTCTAGTGCATAAAATACAGTCTTCTATACAATATCACAAAACGTAATACATAAGCCTCATTTACATGTATTTCTTGATAACATATGGTAGTCCAAAACTAGTTGCTTAATCTGAGGAGGTCCCTAAGTCACTCAAAGAGAAAGTAGCTATTAATTAGATCTAGCCATGAAACTCAATTTCAATAGTATGTAGATGAAATGTCAGTTTTTGTGAAATTCTCTTTTTGCCTCTTATGAAGGAWTAGGCCATCAAAAGATAACACAATAAAAATATAGAATTTTGATAATCCGCATCTGTCTTATTTGTATATGCGTACTTCATATAACAACAGATAAAATCATTTATAAAATGAAAATGGATAAAGTTCACCTGTCTACACCATTACATCAAAAGACAAACATGTACTCATTAGGGAGAAATTAAATGATATCTCAACAAATTACAGTACAGGTACATGTAAAGAGAATTTCACTAATTAGTAAAAGATGTCTATCAAAAAACATCATTTTGGAAGTTACATGTATTTGAAGTGAAGGTATCTCTTGACTTGATGGGACAGGATTGCATCTTATCAATGTAAGTCCTTCATTTTTATCTTGCATATTTTTTTAGGTTGAAAAATAACAAAGACAAATTGACTGAATAATTAATAATAACTAATACTCATTATAATAAGATTATAGATACATGTAACTCTGCACAAACAAACAACAACAAAATACTACAGAACAATAACATAGCCTAAATCAAATAGCACATCGTATTCAGGTCTAGATTTTAGGAAAATGGATTACAGTATGTACATGAGTGTGTATATGTGACTTTACATGGCAAAACTTAATTTTTTTATGTTAAAACGGCTGTTTCAAACAGCCTCATTCCATTTTTTAATGATAAAAAATGCTAGAAATGCTTAGAATTGAAGGAATAAAAAACAGTTTTCTGTGTATTATACTCTGATAAAAACACGCGGGATCTGGGAAGCGTAGGAAACCACGACGCAAAGCAGAGTGGTTTCCAGCTTTTCGAGTGTTCTCTCCACATCCCAAGTGTTTTTATCAGAGTATCATACATGGAAAACTGTTTTTATTGCTTTTATAAAATAACAAGCGCCCAAATATTCATGAGAAAAAAAACCCGAGAAAAAAAGACACGAGCAAGTATTATGCTCTCATCAAACATGGCTTTTTGGCCAATCAGAGCGCGAGTAATATGAAAGTTATTTTATAAATTGTAATATTTCCTAACGGCTCTTTTTTGCCATGTTAAAACACTTTTAAAATATTCGTTATTAATTGTTATTCACAATACTTTTCTAAGCCTGTTTGAGYGCTTTCAGTTTTAACTCGATCATTACAACACCAACGGTTTATGAGCTMTAAATTACGTTTGTAATTACTATAAAATCATGGCTTCAAAAACGAAAATATTCAAACCAGGATGAATTGCATGCATGATGTTTAAGCCACATACACTCACTGTTTGTCATGCTGACTGAAGGCTATTCTTAAAGTAACACTTTTACATTCGTCATGAACGTTGCTCCAAATGATTTTAGATTTATCCTGAACAAATTGTAAGGTCATTAAAACGCTTTTATATATTCAGGAACAGTTTTAAGTTATTCGCAAATGCTTTTTTAAGACAYTTGAACTGTTCACCACCACCTTTTAAATGGATAAAAGACCATTCACTATAGCCCGTTCAAAACAATTGGAGAAACTATTATTCACAAACAAAGAGATTCCATTTCTTGTGCATCTGTGCACATTAATAGGTACACAGGAGACAACAMAATGTCATGACAACATACATAATTGTAAATCCACATACATTGATGTTACATTATGTTTATCGTTGTTAAATGAGATCTTTTATTCTTATATTGTATCTTGCACATCATGGGGAGGTATCAGCTTATAATAGACATCACATATGGTGACCAGACCAAGAAAACTTTCAATAAACTCATTACTTAAAGGGCTCTAGACGACCATACCTGATCTTGTTTCACTATCTGCTGGCTTGACTTGAATTGCATGRTGCATCTACAATAAACAAAATATCTCTCATTCTCAAGATAAAATAGTACAGTATCAACTCTTGTAAAATCCATTTACTAATGGGTGATCACTAGTCAAACAAGGGTTGTGTCCTAGGTCAGGTARTTGACCTTTTATATCCTGATAAAACATAGTGTTGGATAGGGTACTGTATACAGTTCTAATGTGTTAATAATGGTTCATCTAAGATCATGGAAATTGCCTGATATTTTTGACAATTAGCATACAGCTGTTTGATAGAACMTTGAAGACAGCCAACTAAACAACTAGTAAATAACATAATAAAGACAATCTGTACTCGTAGTCATGGTTAGTTTATAATAGCATGCCTGGCATATTGATTACAAGATATTTTACTTTTTGGTTTAATATTAAATAAAGCATTTTGCTCCAACTGGAATGCAGTCTGTTTTTCACAATCTACTCATCAGACGGTATCGAAAAAGAAATTTGAGAGAATAACTACATTTTGTATCAATGTATTCACTTCTTGTTCAYCACCTTAAAACTTCATATTACTTGATACTGTAGAAAAGCACCTTTTCTATTTGAAATATACTGCAAACCTACAGTCGCTTCTTACATGTCAATGCCTTAGGCAGTGTATAGCTGTCACTCCATAAAAATAATATTGTAATCATGATATAAGAAAAGGTTTAATTGATACCTAAATATTCTGGGTTCGTACTACATTTTCACTTCAAAATTCCAGGRCTTKTCAAGTACTTTTTAAGCACAAAAATGYGATTTTCAACAGCTATTTTTGACAATATTTTCTATGTTTGYGGACGTTTCCAGAGGTRATTTTCAAAAAATAGCCACATTCAACTCRAAAACAAGCATCATGTCAATTTCATCAGATTCAAGGAGTTTTCCAGGAGTTTTAAGGATTTTCCCATTTTCAAGGGCTTTTCATGTGCCCTTAAAAATGAGTTTTCGATTCCAGGGCTTTTCAAGGATTTSAAGGAGTACCCTGAACCCTGAGTATTGTTCTACTGACATTTYTACTATTTTACAAGCAGTATCGGGATTTTATTTTGAWATAGTWGTACATCAGCCAAATTGWAAACAGACATACAATGTCATGCACTAAGAAAAATATTCACACCCCTGTTCAGCATGCATATGTACAAAAATACCACAGTAGAAATGTCATCATTGTGGCGATGCAGTTGTTAAAGGTCACAATGTAATGACCTCATTTTCACTAAACGATCTCGACTGGATAGGTACACTTCCCTATCTACATGTAAAACCCTGGCTAAGTAATGGACCTAAATTGACAATAAACAACCCTTAGGTTTTTAGTATGAGTGTTTACATAACAGCAAGGTAAATATAGATCTGTCATTTTAATARGATGTTAACATTATGGCAAAAAGATTCAATAAGAAATTACTTAACCAGCTGTATAAAGGTGTTTCAAATGCTGAAAAGTGTTGACTTACAGCTAATCAAAGCCTACMTGAAAAACCACAATTCAAAATCAAAATATCTACCCTTCACAGTGATGTTTTTTTGTTCAGTATTTTTTAAAGCAATCTTTTAAATAGAATATTCCATGCAGCCATATTGCATTTGTCAACAAAGCATTTTGGGAAACAAAAGAAGAGCAGGTGAAAGATCGTTTCTGTATCTAACTAGATAGCCAAGCTATGCGTACAGCTTCAGGGGCTTATTGCTATCCATGTTTTCAACGAAAAGTGTTGTCAAAGCCGTGAAATACTACAAATTCTTKTCTATTATTATCCTAGGGTCAATAGCCGATTTTAATCTCCTTTCATTATAGTCAAGTCTAGAATGATTTAGCGGAATAAATGAGTTCATCATCTCAAACCAAGGTAATATGTGAAAAGGCGTTGAAAGTTCGGTACATGATGTATTATTCCGCCATGAAAGTAAATCTAGAAGAATATGTCAAATATGCTGGGCTGGGCGCGTGATTTGTTTGGAGCACATGGTTGCAGTTTGACTGATGCGAGTAGACTTAGATACCCTGCCCACAAAACAACACAAAACCAGATATATAACCACTGATAGCCTAACACAGTCATGATAAAATACAATATTRAAAAACCAACATAATAATCAAAAATTRCAGGTCTAATTGAGGCATTTGTGATCGTTGCGCGTACCGTAGTTACAGAAACATGTCGTAAACTTTGTCTTTGACAGCCCATTGTGATTCGTTTCAGCGTGGATGTACCGTTATCTACCGCTAAATCAAACGGCTAACAAGCTCTTTCTGAGTATACATGTATAGCAGTAGTCATTAACTATRTACAAATATTAAATGAGGTCTTTCACAACACTAACATTACACACTAACCCCGGGTAAAGTCTTCTTTTCGTGTAGTTTTTGTTGAGCGTTAACAGCGGCTTCTCTTGTGCAAAACGTCAAGAAAGCACATCCTAAAATATCACGAACACTTTAGTATTTCCACGGTTTTAACTGACTGAAGCCAACAAGCTGCACAACACAGACCTTTGTGGTTGCCGGTGAATTTGTCCTTTAGGATTGTAAGTTCATAAATCGCACCGAACGGCTCGAAAATTGGCCGCAAATCTTTCTCTTCCCAAGTACGTGGAACTTGACCGATAAAAAGTTTGACCGCCCCAGGATCCCTTGTCATCCCCACACCATTCGTGGTCGGTTTAACCTCCATTTTACGTTAATTAGGGAGCGAAAAAGCAGAATTAAAACACACTACAACACGATAAAAGGAATACGAACGAAGCAAATGACAGAAGGACATGTGGATATCCCAATGTTCTCTGCGACACTAGTATAGTGAAGGAGACTAGGGAGAGGTACACAAAATCACACAGGAAGACCGATTACTACTTTTGCTTTCTCTTTTGTTTTTGTTATTTTTCTTTTTCGTTTGCTTGCTTTTTCTGTTTGCTTGCTATTACTTTATTGTCGCTTTCAAGTGTTTACTTTTGKTTGAATCCATATGCAGTCAACGTTGTTCAGTTAAAAAGACCCTAAGACAACAACATAGTTATTTGCATAAATCACATTTGATTCTATGCGGGTTTTTTTTTTTCAAGATTCCTCGTCTTCAAGCTACCAAACTTTATGAAAATTTCAATAACATTTTTATATGTTAATGTTTAATGTTAACTTGCAAGTTGAGCTTTAATTTTTATTGAAATTGAAATCCTTCGCGGGGCCTGGAAAAAATGCCTGAAATGWCTTTCTACTTCTCTTTAGTTGATGTCTTTAGTTTTATCTCTGTTTTTCTTTCTCTTTGTCACTTTATTTCTTTACATGAGCGGATCCAAAACATATGCGGTTGTTAACCCAAATGGAAAAAATCAATATAGATGTAAGGCTAAGGAATGAAATGTCTAGTTCAAGTAAATGCTGCTTTTGTCCCATTCAGATTTAATTTCTTCTTTTTAAATTATGATTCTTATCTCTATATTTTGAATCTAAAGTGGGTTTTGGCTAGCCACCCTAATCATCCACCTAGAAGAAATCTTTAGCATTATGGGTTTTGATTAGATAAAATGCGCCGCGTTTTGCCATTTCCACACAGGAAAAAACCGCGCAGTATATTTGGTGTAAAAATTATGAAAKTAATATTTACATGATTTTGGATACTTACATAATATTTACATCACAATTACACACTTTTTACATACATATTGTAAATTTGATTTACATCACAAATCATTAAAATCCAAATTTACACGATATTTAAATGATTTTGGACACTTAAGGGATATTTAAAATCTTTATAATAATCATAGATTGAATTTACATCATATTTCCATTAAATTAACGACCTTCAAGGAGCGCGATTTTTTCAATTTCCATCTATAGCTGTTAAGATAATTATTCATAGGTCAATTAATTGCTTGCGTCATGATCCAGWAGAATATACGTCATTACGAAATAACATCACTTACTGGGCTAGGTGGGTACATTTTACCTGATTTTCATAAAAATAGGATTTAAAATAAAAAARTCGCATACAAAAAAGATGAAAAATCAACTCCAAAAACGATACTAAAGAACCTATGCCTATATCAACAATTTCTTAAAATTTGAAGACACTTGATTCAAAAACGATAAGATAAACTTGGCACCAAATTTGTGTATAAATTGACCGAASTGATTGGGTGATTAGAAAGAGTCAATAACAAGAAACATCCTGCGCTTTAGTGACCGCCTTGAACAGTTTATGACGTCATGAGTTTGTCAATAAGAGGAAATGCAAGTGAAAACCGTGCGAGTATGCATTTAAATCGTGCCGACTTGTTTTCATGATGTTATACTTAAATATTTATAGAGCGCTTTAAGTGGTGCTCAAATCGCTATCAATACAAACAAACAATATCAGATGGCCGTATAGATAATATATGCTATAAAACTGATTAACACTGCAACCCAGTTTATTAAGAAAATGGGTAATGTATAGAGTGAATTGCTAATTACTTGAGTATGGAAATACTTCTGGCTAGTATGCATCATGTTAATACTATCTTTATCAAAATGATTGAACCAAAAAACCCACCCCCTCCCATCCCCCTTCCCTCCTCCCAACCGAATTGTCACAAAAATCTGTACAATTTTGTTGATAAGAATATTACCTTAAACTAAAACCATCCAAAACGTGAAGCAACATTATTAAGGCAAACGGGAGGAAAATTGTGAAAAAGGGATTTGAGCGCGAATGGAGGCAATCGTTCTGTATTCAAAGATCGGTTTTGCCTACGATTGTCACGAAACCATGCACCAAAAAATTTGTATTATTTATCATCATTATCATGTATTACCACATGTTAATCAATATTATCACAAGAAATTACTGTTGTGAAAATAGACATAAAATAGAATAAAATATGGGACATATTATGGTCTACTATTCCTTTATCCATCATATTCCCGTATTCATACAATCATTTATTTATAGGAATTATTGAGTGACCCACACACATCGCAATATTCATAACGCATAKATGCCATATATATCGAGACCATAGCGATAGAACAGCATGTCTACTTGCTTTTTTATCAGATATAGGGATAGTACCTCAGCCAAAACCACCAACGGTTAACACTCATTACAATGATAACATAGTATTTTTTTGTTTCGCTGCAGGGGTTTGAGAACTCGTTCGTATGTTGTGATAAAAAATCACAGCAATTGCTCCCCAGGACATTAAGTGAGTCCTTTGTCCTACTAAATTCTCAATTAATACGTGTGATTGCTGTAGATCACTATAAAACGGGAACACACCTCAACGGACTAACATTTTGGATGATTATTTGACTCTAGGAAGAGGGGTGTTTCTCTGAGATTTGACACGGTGTTTTGACAAGCATCGGYGTACCTTTATCCTAAACATTCAATTGCAATACCAGAAGATACTAACAGCGAAAAGGTAAACGATCTTTAACTCAAATGATTTGCGATATAAAACAAAAACTCCATTTTCGAAAAAAGATGACCGCGGTATTCGTTATTTTCTTATATCTTTGACCACTTTACTTCTGATTTCCGGAACAATCAAAGATTTTGAGCTAAAAGCATTTTCAATTTCAAGATTATTCATACTCTTGTTTTTAAGGATCGGTCGGACCTATTGATCGTAACTGATTCCAGGTGCTCAGTCTTAATTTGCAATTTTTTACGTGTCAAGAAAAGCATTTTTACATCAAATGAAATGGAAATTATAATTAAATTAAACAAAACTTGAGCTAAAAAAAGTTTTAAAATGCTTACTAAAGCTTGATTTAAGCTGATTAAAAAGACCGGAATAATTTGAGGAAAAGGCGGCAAACTTCCGCAGTTGTTATTTGTGACGTATACGAACTCACGCATACATGCTCACGCACACAGRATGATAAGTATTCATGCTAGCCTCCTCCGCAGGCAACTTTTTCCCTCATTTGGTCATCTTCTTTTTGACTCCCCAAAAAGACAGGAAGCCCGTGATTCTTTGTGATGTCTGCGGAGGAGGCTATCTGGGTGATTGATTTGCGACCAGGCCTGCATATGAATTCGCCAAGGTTGTAAGCCAGTGAGCCCGTGCATTTTTGTTAAGCGGTCATATTTGAAGTGTAAATAAAGAAAAGGGAAAACCCGCAGCTCGCCTTTCATTCAGACAAACAGTAAAATTTATTTACATAACTAAACAAATGATTATAGAATTAAACCTTCAAGAATTGTTGAATGCTCATATGAAACATTTTCCACCTTAAATACACACGTGTTTTTCAGAATGGAATTTAGTCGAACTTTTTTCACGATGGAATTTTGTTTTGAGTCGTTTCGACATAAACAGTCGCTATCAAGACATTACACGAAAAACCCCAGTCACCGTTCTAGCTCTCGTTTTAAGGTCAAAGCTAGTAAATGTGCAACTGACCTGTTACATAACGACCATAACGGATGAACTACGACAGTTGTTTCAGTACCAAAAATAACAAAATCTATTGGAATACGTGGACCTAAGCTATACTCTATAGCTCTTCGAGACAACATCGGATGTTGTAGATACCTCAAAGCTTAGAGGAAACAAGAGCTTAGAAAAAGGATTTTTCAATGGCTCCTCCTGAGATACTTTGGACTTGAACGTCGCTTCAACGCCCTTCTGAAGCCTTCGTGAAGTCGGCCATTGATTTGCATGCAATGGAGAACCCACATAGAACACAGAACAATTATATTAATCAGGGAGGGGAGTCTCGTGGTATAATTAAAGAAAAAATTATTTGTTATTTCGTTATTTTCTTTTAAAAGCTGTTGTATAAAGATTTTAAATTTCTCTTTGCGTTTTAGCTTCGATTTTTCGGATAGAATAAAATGACAGGCATCCTACTCCACTGGGTCGAGTTTTGCTGTGCAAATTCTTCCCGTCGGGGGGTTATGTTTACAACATAAGCTTGTCAGCTTTGCGCTGATTGGCTACTCGCATTTTCTCAAATCACCCAGATATTTATGCCTGGGATGCGCCAAAGCGAGAGGGTGTTACAACGCGTATTCCACCCGGGCGGGTGAGTGCTCACAACTATCGCTTCTTTGTGAGCCTGGATCAAAAGCAATGAGGAGTGCGCGAAGTAATATATATAATGGTGTATGGTGGGAAATTCATGCAAATACTTGTTAATATAATGATATAGTAACTTGGTAAGTAAACATTGGCATTAAAAGCTAAAAAAAACTAGCCCTGGGCTTCCCGTGATGCAATAAAATTTCGTACTGTAAAACCGTTGTCTTTTTTTTCTTTTGTCAGTAGTAACGAGATGGAGAACTACACTTCCCTTGCATCCAACAAGACGTTATCAAACTGTCCCATTCCAAAACTAAAGAATGCAGCAGAGAAGTGGAGTGAGGTTGCTGCCTATGTCTTGATTGCTGCCCTTACTTTAGGAGGAAACATTTTGATCATTATCATCGTTCGAAGGTAATAACTGCACGGCTTATATAGGGAGACCAAATATTGGAAATATTTGATATAACCACCGAGGG